ACTTGGACGTCATTATCAAAAAGGAATATGAGATATTTATCAGTGATGCATGAATAATAATAGTTTACTTGCATTATTATTTTTTTGTACATCCAACGGGATCCTTATCCAACTTATAACACGTAATGTTGATTACGTGGTCAAAGCAATTGCTTCCGTGTTGCCAAGTCATCGAAAGACGTGTAGATGCTCCTCTCTCTCTCTCCATCTCTTATCTCATCCTTACTGTCTTCCCAACAAAGTTTCATCAATGTCAAATTAAAATGATCTTTTCATGGTTGAAATTTCTTTTAAGATACGAAATTATCGTATGATAAATAATATGTTAATCATCGATATATCCCGATAGAAAATACGGAAATGGTATTTGGGTGTATAAATCGAAAAAAAAAACATGGAAAGTGTCATTAATTCTAATGAGATATAACTAGAAATTTTTATCTATGATAATCATTTGAAATATCCAAATATATTCTTATTTTTGATTGAAAGATGTTATTATCGTGAATCAATAGATTCAACATTCGAGCTTGTCACAAGTTTTAATTGTCAAGAATTTTTATAATGATTCTCGATGACTAATAGACGTAAGTAGTCATTCATTTATAAGAAATAATCGAGTAATATATAGCTCGTTGAATCATAAAAAATTACGGTTAATACTTGTGTAGTTTATATTAATGAGATAGAAAAACTACTCAACTTATTATTATCAGTTAAATAAATAGTTAAACTTTAAGTAAAGGATAGACTCCTATCTCACTAAAAAATATTTAACCAATTAATTAATTAAAGGATCTTGACTTTGATATTCTAAATATAACAACACTATTATAATACTTAAATTATTCAAAAAATATATATGTGTGAAATTTAATTTAATATTCCATCAAAATCTATCTTCCTTCTTTCATTTTAAGCAATAAAAAGTCTCTAAGATACCATGAAAAATAGAAAAAATAATAATAATAAAAGCATTTGTATACCTATTCCCAATTCTCTATCAACAAAGCAAACTATAGATGTAATTTGATGTTCCAACCTTAGGTTGTACAAATAGACTAAAACCAAAATAAAATGTGGAGCACATCAACCCCAATTGGTGGTAACTCAATTGGAACACTTGCAATGATTGGCTTGGATGCCATGGCCACTTTGACTCCCAACATAATTTAGTGACTTCAAGTCAGACTTTGCTGTTCTACATCTAATTAGCAACGTTTGGAAGATGCAAATCACTAAATCTTTCTTTTGTTGTGGGAAATGCTGATTGAATTGATGAAGCTCACACTAAATTTGTTGGTATAGAAAGAAACCACAAAAGGTATGTATGTAGAAAAAAAAAAAAAATAATATATATATATATATTCAAAGGTGTTTTCAATCCTCTCTCTCTCTAAAAATATATATATTCAAAGGTGCTCTCAATCCTCTCTCTCTCTCTCTTTTGGCTTGATGTGTGATGTTGTTCCAAGTAGAAAGACAACTAATCTTCCATCCAGTGGACTTTGGTGTGAAGGAATAAAAGTCCTCTCTCATCAAACCTTCCTTTGTGTGTTTCTTCCCTCCCCCCTCTCTCTTTCTTTCTCTCTCTCTCTTCTCTCTTACAAGAAACCAAAAAAAATAAAGGAAGAAGATGAGAAGCTTCTCAATATTTATCCTCTTTTCCTACAAAGGCAGAGAGGGAGTCAGAGCATCAATTCCCTGCCTTTTTCCTGTCATCTAAAACCCTCCTTCCTCTGCCCTCCAGAAAAGAACCCAACTTAAGATCTTGATTTCTCCTCAAAGGTCTCACCTTTCTCCACCCCGCGCCACAAGATCCAATCTTTTCTTGTGTTAGGCTTACCGGTATTCCCGTCTTCCTGCGAAAGATAACCTTTGTTGCACCCCGAAGGCGCCGCCTTTCTTCCTTTGGCTGGGTCTTGGAGGCGTCGGAGGAGGACCATGAGCACGGCTGCCGCGGTCGAAGCCTCGTCGATGCCACGGAAGCGATTCTCCGGTCTGCGGGGCGTTCGTTGGCGTATTGATCTTGGGATACTGCCGTGCTCGCCGTCGGCCTCGATTGATGATCTCCGCCGCGTCACCGCGGATACCCGGAGGAGGTGACCTAACTAAAGATTTGCCTTTTTTCCTGTTTGCCCCGTTTCCCGCGGGGAAATTCTTGTGGATTTGATATGCTTCTGTTTCTTGTCACCCGTTGTTTCATTGAATCTTTGCTTTCGAACTTGGGCAATCAATTCGAGTTTTCTTGTGTAATTTTATGGGTTCATATCCCGTGCCTATGATCTATACCTTAATTGGGTCTCTGAATTCACAGATACGCGAGTCTGAGGCGTCGCCTTCTGATAGATCATCATCCCCCAAAAGATGGAGATGCATCTCCTGATCTTACTGTGGATAATCCCCTGTCACAAAATCCAGGTATGCTCATCTTTCTCTCTGTGCTCCGGGGGAACTCTTAACTATTACAACCCCTACTAGTCTTAGTTGACATAGTCGGCATAGGTTTTGTTGAGTCGCTTCTCGAGCATATAGTTAAATTTGACAACCTCCAGTGGCTGATAATGTAAAAGTTGTGTGTGATGATCCTTAATTTCTTTATGTGTTAGTTGCCACTGTGACTTATGTGATATTATCAGGAGAAAACCCGGCAAAAATAATCTCACAATGGCTTTTGGGAGATGTGTTCTCTTGTGTAAGTTTGCCAAGAACTTTGAGTAGACTATAAAAAAAATCTGTTCAAGTTATTTTGCTGCACGAAATACTGTCGATATGCTTGTGACATATTTTTTGTGAAATCAAGAAGTTTTATAATGTTAATTGAAGCACACTAATTGAAAATCTCATGTGATTAGTTCCCATGCATTTCAGATTGAATCCTTTTAACTGTGCAGCATGTAATAGCAATTATGATGTTCTACTTCGTACAGATAGCAACTGGGGCCGCTTTTTCAGAAATGCAGAGCTGAGGAAAATGGTTGACCAAGATTTGACGAGGTTGTATCCTGAACATCATGGCTACTTTCAAACACCTTTATGCCAGGCGATGCTAAGAAGAATATTGTCGTTATGGTGTCTCCAGCACCCAGAGTATGGGTATCGACAAGGCAAGCCCTGTAGCTTATTCTTATCATATATGAATTTGTCTTAATATTGTAATCTTTAAAGGCAATCTTTCATCTATTTCATTGTGTATTATCTGATAAATAGCCATGTAACTTTTGGGATTAGTATAAGGAAAATAAGTATGGCCTATCGCAGATGGAACCTATCATATCTTTTGTTCTTTTTATTTGTAACAAAAGAAATCTCTGCTACTCTTAGATTCTTTCTGAATAGAAATCAGTATTCTTTTCTCGGAATTACAGTTAGTAAATCAGTAAGTGTGTATTACATAGGTGTACCGTTACCACTTACTCTAGAGTTACCTAAAAAATACATCACAATAGACATGTAAAATTTACAGGAATTTGTGCACTCTGTGCTAATATCCGAGATGGGGATTTGCCTATCTTAGTTTATCTTTTATATGATAAATAGTGACGTCATTGACACCAACATTTTGTTGCAGGAATGCATGAATTATTGGCTCCTATTGTATATGTGCTTCATGCTGATTTGGATCACCTGCTTCAAGTGCAAAAACCCTATGAAGATTGCTTTAATGATGAATTTGATGGAATCACCTCGCCAGAAAATAACCTGTTCTCCAACTATAAAGTTAAAAGGGCCAGCGACTGGGACTCTGGAATTGAAACTGAGAATACTCACCACATAATGAGTGACGGCCACAGTCTGGATGAAATAGATCCTGATACAAGGGATATACTTTTGTTGAGCGACTCTTATGGAGCAGAAGGCGAGTTGGGTGTTATCTTGTCTAAAAAATTTATGGAGCATGATGCTTATTGCATGCTTGATAACTTAATGGATGGAGCACAAGGTGTGGTTGCCATGGCAAGTTTTTTCTCTCCTGTAGTTGGATCCAGCACTAACTTACCTCCTGTGATTGAAGCCTCATCAGCATTGTATCATTTGCTGTCCATTGTGGATCCTTTTCTTCACGCCCACCTAGTTGAGCTTGAGGTGGAACCTCAATATTTTGCCCTCCGATGGTTGCGTGTTCTATTTGGACGGGAGTTTTGCCTTGAGGATGTTTTGGTGATTTGGGATGAAATGTTCTCTTCCTCAAATTGTAGATTAATAGGCGATGATGTGGAGTACAACTTTAAGGTCTTGTGTTCTCCCCGAGGTGCATTTATTGCGGCTTTGGCTGTCTCAATGCTTCTTTATCTAAGATCATCCCTTTTAGCTACTGAAACTGCAACCACTTGCCTTCAAAGGTTACTAAATTTTCCACAAAATCCTGATACAAAGAAACTCATAGAGAAGGCAAAATCATTTCAGGAACTTGCTCTTGTATCGAACATTGTACCCTCTTCATCTCAGAGAGATTCAAACAAGGGTCGGTTCAGAGTTAGTAGTGGGTACAGTCTTCCATCTGGTTCAGCTTTTCCTGTGCCTCCGTTGCATGTAGTGCCAGATAGTTATTGGGAAGAGAAATGGAGAGTGTTGCACAAGGATGAAGAACTTGGGGAACAAAGCAATAGTGACCAAGGTTCAGCCAAGAAGAAATTGGCTGAAAAACTAAGTTTATATAGGACAAAGTCAGAACCATTAAAGGCGAAAAGTGCTCTTAATCAGTCTTCCATTAGACAAATACTTTTTGATGATGTTTCTAGCGATATTGGAGCTGTTGAAAATCATGTTACATCCGAATGTTGTGAGGCTCCTATTAATTCAAACAACTTAAATGTTGGAGATTTTCCAGTTGTATTGGCTGATCAAAGGTCCTCCGATTGGATAGGTGATGAAACACTTTTGAGCGGGGATAACTCGGTGGTGGTGTCCAAATTTGTTTATCCTCATGACATAGGTAACGAACATGAAATTGACTCGGTGAAAAGCAGTGTAACTTCAAATTCATTTCTTTCGGACAATGACGAAGAAACATTTAACATGGAGGAGCCTTGTAGTCAAAATGTCAGCAATGAGTTGGCCCAAGATGCTGAAGCAACTTCATCTCATATCGCTGATGCTGTCCCAGAACAAAGAGAAACTCCAATTCACTGGAAATCCTTCGCAGGTATATTTCAGTGGTTTTGGAAGTTTGGTAGAGGCTCTAATGAAGCAAGTCGTGAGTCACAATCATCCTCTGACGCCCGACATACAAACAAGGATAGCTTCGACACTACAACTTGTGAAGGGACTGATAATTCATGTGGAGTCAACAAGAGGATCGAAGTGGGCGACAAGAAAATGATACACACTTTAAGAAATCTTGGACAGTCCATGCTTGAGAATATTCAGGTGAGATATTCTTGGATCATTTGGGTCATCGTCTTTTGTTTCATATCATTTCCTAAAAAGTTTCCAGGTTAGATAACAAAATAAGATTCTCTTTATCAATATCAATTGACCAGTCATGCAGCATTCCAAAATATTTCTTCCTCATGTTTATCAATTTCAGCTATCGTAACATCAACCGTAGTCTTCGAAATAATAAATATATGATACTTTTGGTCAATGTGACTAAGCATCTGCAAATCTGAACATGGGATATCTGAGTATCATATAAGTGCCGTTTTATGAAGTTCGATAACATTATCTTTCGAAGGCTAATTGAACTTTGTATAGTATAGTGCTATTGTAATCATGGTTGTTGGTCCTTGTAGGTTATCGAAACAGTCTTCCAGCAAGAGAAGGGCAAGTTTGACTCATTGGATAACTTGTCAAACAACATTCTTGGGGTTAAAGGTCAGAGTACAGCTATAACAGCTTTAAAGGAGCTCCGGAAGGTAAGTAACTTGCTGCAAGAGATGTAAGACGAGCTAAACATCGATTTAAACAAATTGTAATTACATTCTTGTGTAGTTTTGTCATAAACGTAACTCGTAGGTTCTTTGTTTTCTTTCTTCAAATTTTTTTCCCATTCATTGCAATGTATATATCCGTCAAAGTAAGTGAGAATTCATAGTTCAATCATTATCCAGCTCAATTACCTCTTTAACCAAGTAGGAGGATTGTGATCAATTGGCATTGGACTGCTGCTCTTTTATTTTGATTCGCCGCTGGCAATTTCTGGATGGTTTCAAACTCGTGAGCACATAATTTTAGCTAATTGATGACAGGTTTTCGGATGGATTTGCGATATCTCTCTGCTGAAATCGAAATGTACACTGCACAAGCTCCATATAACAGTATCAACAAATCTAATAGAGATATGTGTCTTGCTGATTTGCTCGTGCAACCAACCAACCAACCTTAGATAGTTGGGCTGTTTGTTGCTGTGGAAGTTACAGAACGAAAGATTGTTGCTGTTATTACCTTAGAATATATATATATACACACACACACACTGCCAACAAAGGAAATAAAGGAAAACGAACAGTGTGATCTCGACCTATTAGCATGATAAATTTTAATCATTGATTCTGGAATATTCAAATCTAAGTTAATGATATAAATTCATCTAATTTTATAATTCCCCAACTTCTTTTTCTTGCAATTAAAATGTCAATTGCTGCGCTACGATGTGAGATCTATGATCTATGATCGGGTGTTCGATGAAAGATCTTTGTCTCGATCTATGTCGTTGTCGTGTGTGAATCAAATAACAGTCAATAATGGCGACGGAAGGAATTATTCCAACACGGCACTAACAAACTCTTATGGGACGCAAAAGAGACAGATTTGGGTGCCTAAATATTTAATGGGAATATGCTCTGCAAGACATTTCTAATGTTGTGTTGTCATTCTTCACCGAGTCAAGAGAGACTACTTTCGTCTCTCGGAGAGGTTCTCCGGTCAAATCTGATGAATCTTCTCTACAAATGCACCTCAAGATTATGATTTGTGAAGATATTCTTAGATGATTTGCTACCAAAAAAAAAAAAACACACAAAATCCAAGACTTCAAATCCAGTCATGATAATGCATGAACATTCGTTGATGATGTTAAATTACCCAATATTCCAGTTTTTGTCAGTCCCATATGTTTCTTAGATCAGAAGAACAAATCTCAGATTTGCAGCAGTTTGTAGAGACAAGAAATGATAGTAGTCAATTTTACTGCCAACCAACCTCAGATTTGAATAACGAGAACCAAAAACAACAAAAAAAAAGTGTAGTCAATTCAGGCTGGCTTTCTATCGGTTGAAGAAAATTCAAGCTTGTATAGAAGTTTGGCAGTCTGTTTAAACTATCAACTCCATTTGTCTGTTTACATCCCTTCCTTTACAGGGCACAAGAAAGTCATCATTTAGATGCATCCATCCAGGCCTGCACATTAGCAATGTTGAGATATGAACAACATAAATTATCTCACCAAAGAAGTAGAAATCTTATGAACTATGAAAATTTCCACCGGTACCGCGCGATCTTGTTGGCTATACTATTACTCCCTAAAGTGATGTAGAACCACCAATATGACAAACAGCTGAGTTTTCAGGAACACTATTGATGCAGACGGATTAATAGTACTTTGTGAAATATGTCCAATCTACCCCCCCTTTTCTTTGTTGGCTGCAGATCATTCCTCGTCATCAGATTGTGTTGGTGTCTTTTTGCGACTCTTCTTCACTGGATGCTTGCCTGAAGCCAATTTATCTGGTCAATAAACCATTAATTGTGGGGAAAAAATTGTAGTTCCACATAGGCGCTAATGTTAATCTCACATAAATCATGTCAGACAAAAAAACCCTTGTAAAGTCCACTTGTAAAGTTATGATTCCACATGGCACCGGTACTGACACCAGAAAGCTATCAGTCCATCAAAGAGAACTTACATATGTTCGGTACGAGACATGATATGAGAAAGTTTTAAGTGAAAGGACAACTGGACATATGTAATCAAAGAATTCTCTAATTATTATATCCAACAATGCTGGGATCATCGATAATTTGTGTCGTACACTAAATATATTCTAACATAGTTGAAAAAAAACAATAATCTAACTGTAGGGAAAACAAATTCAGCAACAAGAAAAAGAGAATTCGATAAAAGTTGGTCGCCGTGATGACTTTGCCCATATTGCTTATTTCCTATATATGACATGGAGCAGAGATCCACATACAAGGACTCAACTTTAAGCCTCTATCCTCAGCAATGCTGCCAAAATTTTTACCACACAGGCCAACAAATATGGCCAATTCGTGAAGCTCCATTAGAATTTTTAGTTCTAAACACTACTTCCCTAGTTGGAAATTCTTTCATTTTGTGTTTCTGCATTCACATCTCTGTATCATATATGATATCTTAATACGGTAAATTAGTTGCCCTAATCTGACTGGGTCATGTTCTTGTACAAAACCATCTTTTAATACCATCCACACAATTTTGAAGTACTCCAAAGGTAGATGTACAAGACTTTTTTTTTTTCTGTATCAAAGCACTGTTCTTTAGCTATCAATTGTGTAAGAACTCTAAATTAAGTTGACTCTTCTTTTAAGTACTTCCATAAAGGCTGCACATAAGGGAAATCAAAAGACACAGAATGTGGGAGCAGATAATAACATATGCAGTGGCTAATGTTCCACGTGTGCAGTACAATGGCAACTGGGAAAGCATAAGTTAAAAAGAAAGTCACAATGAAAAATGAATGCGACCACCTAACAAGCCACAGAGTACCATGGAACCTAATATGCTTTGCACATAACATCATCAAAATTAACGGTGCTAACAAAGTCCTTGACACGAGATATCATGATCAGACTGATTTTATTAAAAGCAATTCCAGAACATCATGACAATATTGTTAATGAATAACATATAAACTTGGTTATAAAGTTCAATCAGATAAATAAGTCATCCACTGTTGACAAACAGTCCCTGCTAATATATTCAAACAATTTTGTAACCCTCAAAATCACTATAGAATGTTTTGAAGTGCTCCAAACAAATAGTATCCTTTGGAAGATAATTAAGTAGCAAAACATGTTGAAAATTTTGAAAATTTCAGGTTGACACAGAAGAAGCAATGTTGTTCCTATATATTTAAAACAAGCTTGTAATCTGACGTGTAAGAGGTGAAAAGAAATATCAGCAAATTGCGACACAAGCCAATGAACAACCAATACATTTATCAAGCAAACAAAACAGGAGCATTTAAGCTAGTTTAGCCACGATAAGCTATTTGGAATTAAATACCAATGTCAGTTAAAACCAGCATGGATGAGGTGAGGATGCAATTTTACACACATCGACAAACATCATCGATTCAAGGCTCCTCTAGATGATCATATATGCTATGTGAGAATGGATGAGCAGAATTTTCAACTGGAGAGCAACTTGCAAGAATTGACTCTAAAGGAGCATGAATTGGTATAAAAAAACCCTTCTGAATAAGGGAATCTCTAGTTAACATATACTTTTTCAACATCCAATTCTGGAATAACTTAAGGATATCCGGGAACTTGTTTGGTCAAAATCCAGAGTGTACTTACTGTGACGAGGTCCAGTTGATGACTAGGATCTAGATATATATAAAAAAAAGAATGTCTTTTGGATTAGGGCCATTGATCTACCTCCCATTTGAAACTCTTCTGAAAGAAAAATACAAAATGGCTAAGGAGCCTAACTTATCATAAGTCACAAGGTTCTCCTACATTAAGAAAGCAACAGATCTATTTGTCTGATTCTGATCAACAGCATCCTCAACGAAGGAGGTAAAACTCACCTAGTGAATACTAATATCAAGCACATGGCAACTTGTAATCGCCGAAGAGAAAGAAACCCTTAAAGATGATATACTGGTGTGCAAAAGAAATCGCAGTAACAACATATATCATCTTTATTCGTCAATAATTTCACAAACAAGCAGATCGATCCTTATTAATTTACCTTCCACGAAGTATGATGACGAGGGCCACCCGCGGATGGTGGTGAAGGACATGGTCTCCTCCTCCGTCAGCGGATTCGTGAACTTAGCGACCAGCTCCAGGAGGCCAAGAGCCCGCCGGCGGGGCGGGACCCAGTAGGAGGACCCCGGGATGAAAGGGAGCCAGTCGGGGGCGGATTTGCGAACCAGAATCGCGTGGATCGCGTCGTCGAGATGGCGGACGACGTCGACCTCGGCTACCTCGACCTCCGTGCCGAGGTCGATCTCGACGATCTCCGCCTTGGCCGGTCGGTCGGAACGGCCGCGGAAGCTGAGAAGGCGGGGGAGGAAAGAGAGGGCGTGCGACCGGGAGCAGGAGAGGAAGAGGTGGTGGGGGGAGGAGCAAGGATCTCGGAACAGGGCTTGGGAGGTTCGAATTAGGGCTCGCGACAGTATCCCGGCCATCAAATGTTTCCCCGACGAGAGAGACGGCGATGGGATGATTTTAATACCTGCAACAAGTCACGTGTTCGCACGTGATACCTCAAGGACAGGGATAAGGATAGATTATTGCATGGTTTCATTAGAACCCGATTCTTATATTTAAAAATTTTATATTAAAATTATTATTATTATAAAAATAAAATTTTTAATTTTATTTATCTTAATATCATTGAATTTATCGGCAGAAGATATTATAACACGTGTAGAAATAATACGAAAATGATATACAAAAATTAATTTTAACGTTTAAATTATATTTTCACGAACGATGACACTATTGGGGTCAGTAAAAATGATCCAGTGGTTGACAAGAATATTACGGGAATATCTTTAAAAACGTATTAGGTAGAGTCATGCGGATGGAGTTGAGAGACTTCTATGACTTCTTACATAAGAGAAGAATGAGAAGAGAGAGCGACAGTAAAAAGTGAGGCAAAGGAAGATGAGAAAGATGATGTTGCAAATGTCAATGCTTTGCATCTGCATCGACATCGACACAAATGTAGAGCAGCGAAAAGATCACTTGACATTTGCATTAGTGCCGACATAGATGCAGATTCTTTGTTATCAAAGAATCCCCAATTTCTATATTTACATATAGGTCCTCTGATTTATAAATAGATCCTTACACAAATTTCATAAATGAAGGATATTACACTTAGCGTCAACACAGATATAGATAACAAAGCATTAACGCAGATGCAAAGCATCGCTCGACATTTGCATCGACACTGACATCTATATTGGCACCGACGCAGATGCAGAGTGACATCGCTCTGCATTTGCATCAATGTCGACAACGATACAAGGAAGGATGATGCTCGTCCTTCTAACCCCCTTCCTTGATTCCTCATCCTTCTTTCCTCCTTTTTCGATTTCTCATCTTTTTTCCCCTTCCATTACCATCGACCATAACTACCCACGACCTCTAACGACGTTGTCATCCACTATCGAAAACGTAACTAGGATGTTAAAATTATTTTTTTTATCCATTATTTTTTATGTTATTTTTGCACGTGCTATCATATGCTATATCTTCCATCGATAAAATTAACAATGTTATGATATATAAAGTTAAATATTTTAATAAAATTATAATGATTCTAATATAAATTTTTTAAATCTAAGGACTGAAATATTAAATAGATTTAAGTAGATGAGTAATATATAATTAGCCCCCGATGACATTCTTTTGCTATGTAAACATTAAAAAAAAAAGATGCATTTGATGAGCATCTCATTAATAATTAATCCTTTATCATCTTTCGTTTCTAACAAAATTATTGGGTTATATACTACTAGAATTTTTCTTTTCTTTTTTATGCCAAATCATAGCTTGAATATGTGATACTAAAAAAGACTTGGGATAACAGTAAAATTAATTCACCTCTCATTATATCTCGAAACAAAAGATGCATTAGATACACTTACAGATTGGACGATAGGATAAAATATATTTCGAAAGCAGAGAATAATACATCACCAATTTACAATGGAATAAACATACACAGGAAAATACTTTTCTGAGCAAATTCAAACACCACTGGCAAGTGACAAGAAGTTACTCTCCCAATTCTTCTATATATCATCATGAACAAAATGTTAATGTACAAGCAAGAAAATAATAAGAATTTGAATATGAGGACAAGAATTTGTTGTTCAGATTAAACTTGAACTCCCTTGAAGAGGGGCAGCAAATGGATCACCAAATGGATTGGAGGATGCAACCTGGGGATGAGAAAAATGAGGCTGATAGGTTTGTGGGACGATCATGTTCTGTTGCTGCTGCTGCTGCTGCTGTTGCTGTGTCATTAAAGCCATTTGGACATTGGGTGGAGGTGCAATGTAGTTCGACATAGCAAAAGGGTCCATGGATTCGTAAGGATTGGCAGCTACTCCACCATGACATACTGCTGTATTCTGCAGTCTCCTAGCAGCATCATCATACAAGCTATCAAGCAGGAGCTGGTCGAATCCACCAGCCTGTTAAGGGCAAACAAACTGGACTTATTAATGGAAGATAATTGCATGATTTGACATAGTATCAGAAACAAGTTATTGTTGGACTAAGCTGATATAATGATAAGCGGTCTCATCTCACATATTTCATATCCAAAGTGATGGATACGACTTCCACTTACAATAAAACTGGATCTTTGAGAACTTATGATATTTCAACTATTATAGAACTTCTTAGTCCTTTATTTGGTCTATGGTCATTCCTAACTACTTCAACAAAACAAGATACATATTGATCACCACAGAACTTAGGCAATCTAGACACACTTCTCTTGACAGAAAAATGGAAAAGCTGGTCCAGGAAGATAACAAGAGAAATCAGCAAGCAGTGTTTTAAGCAGTTATTGTTGCCTAAAACAGGATTTAATCTTGCCATGTAAACAACACATACCAGCTTGCTTTCAGTGGGTTGGTTGTTATTGTTGCTTGATGTTGTCACCAGTGCCAGCTCCCAGCCTGAAGAGTCTCCCGGACTGAATAAATCACCAGTGGCTGTTGATATAGAATCACCCCCTATAGATATATGCACAAAATTTTGAAAGAAAATTCAAGTTAATGGACAAAATACTTAGAGAGGCACCATAGAACGCAAACAAAATATTCTAAATGTGCAAGTTTATCACTTAGTTGGATGAATGGATACAGGCAGAAAACAAGCATTTGGCATTGTGTATGGTTTTACTGTTAGAAATGAGGTGGAGTTGTGGAAGAAGAATAATTGGGGAAGAAAATAAAAGTCTAAATTTGTTTTGGTTTCAGATGTTAAAGCTTATGATCTCCTCTCATCAATTTATAGGAGATGATAATACAAAACTACATTCATAAAAGATAAAAACTAAGGATTCCCTCAGCTTTCTAGATGATATATTTTCTTTTCACAAGATATCTTGTCAACTTTGTAGACATATCAACTTTTGAGGAATTACAACATTTTCCAACAGGATTTTATCTTCTTCTAAAATATCCAAGATATTCTCATCTTTTCAAAAGATCCATGCCATTTTTCAAAATGCCAAAATCTTTCTTCATATAAGATCAAGTAAGATGGACTAAATTAAGCTTAATTTCAACAATCCCCCTTAAGGTTAATTTTTTTTCATCCATCATGCCAAGAAGTGACTTAAACTTGGTAAATGAGTGAACTCCAAGTGGTTTGGTAACATATTGGTTACTTAGTCTTGAGTCTTGATAGGAATGAGTTCAACTTTCTTTATCTTCACATGCTCCCGGAAAAAGTGACATTTCAAGTCAATGTGCTTGCTCCTTTCATGATGCATCGGGTTCTTTGCTAGTGAAGTAGTGAATTTGTTGTTGATGTAAATTTATGTTGCTTCTTATTTGACATGCATCTTCTCTGGCAAGCTTCTTAACTATATAGCATGACAAGCGCATGAGAATGCCACAATCTATTCGGCTTCAAAAGTTGAGAGTGTCACGATTTGTTACTTTTTAGATGTCTAAGTGATTGTGGTATCTCTCATATAAAACATAAATCCGTATGTGTTTCTTCTATATCATCAACATCTCCTCTCCAATTGCTATCGAAATATCTGAGAAGTTGAAAATTGTTAGAACTTGAATTGAATAAACCATTTGGAGAGAGTACCTCTTGATGTAGCATAAAATTCATTTAGTGGCCTTCCAATGAGTTGATTTAAACTCCTCCATAAATTGGCTTACTAACCCGATGGCCGATGCTATATAGAATGTTTGGTCTTGTGCATGTTAGATATTTTAAATTTCCAACCAAGCTCTTGTAAAGAGTTGCATATATTGCTTTGTCTTAATCATTCTTTGATAGCTTGACACCACAATCTATCAATGTGCTAATTGGGTTGCAATCTTCCATCTTGAATCTTTTAAGAACTTATCTTGCATATGCTTCTTATGAAATGAAGATGCCCTCTTCGCTTTGTTTCACTTTATGCCAAGGAAATAAGACATCAACCTCATATCGATCATATCAAACTCCTTTGTCATGGCTTGCTTGAAATCTTAGAATATATGAGGATTATTCTTTGTAAAGATTAGATCATCTACATGCAAGCAAATATGTAACATGCTTCCATCTTCTTCTTTAAAGTACAAAGAATACTCATAAGGACATTGCTTGAAACCATTAAGTTTAGAGTAAGCATCAATCTTAGCATTCCAAGCCCTTAGAGTTTGCTTCAACCCATATAAAGACTTTTTCAATCTTAGAAACTCATCTGACTCTTATGGGTTCATGACCTTTAGGTAAAGTTGTGATCTATCATGTTTTGTTCTTCTTTATAGCATTAATCTCCTTATCTATTCCTTTCCTCCACTTCTTATCTTTAATTGTATTTTCAAAAAAAAAAACTTCTTCAATAGCATAAAGATAAACAAGATTGAGTTGGTTTATCACCTCGTACAATTCTTATATGCTCCTTGTTTTTCTTGATGTCGGACTTTCTTCAAAAGATAAGCTTGATATAAAGAGATGATAGAGGTGTAAGATCTTCATTTATCACTTTGTCTTTGCATTCCTCCATATTTATACTCCAATTCCATACTCCATCTGTATGAAACTCCACATCTCTACTCACATACATTTTCTGTTCTTTTGGATTACATAACTTGTAGGCTTTAGATCGAGTATTATAGTCAATGAAAATATATTTGAAACTTTTGTCATCCAATTTTATTTTTCTTTCATCTGAAACAGAAGCATAGGCAATACATCCAAAAATCTTTAAATGAGAGACGTTAGGCTTCTTGCCACTCCAAGTTTCTTGTGGTGTTATGTCTTCAAAACTCATTGTTGGACATCTTTTGAGTAGGTAAACTGCATATACAATGACTTCACCCGAAAACTCCTTTGACATCTTATTTTGTAGCATGCTTTTGACCATGTTGAGGATGGTTCGATTTTTTCTCTCCACCACACCATTTTCTTAAGATGAATAAGTTGTCATTAATGGTCTTTGAATACTACATGCTTCCCAAAAGCCTTCAAACTCTGATGTGAATTCTCCTCTATGGTCCAATCATAAGGCCTTGATGGTATAACGACTTTGGTTCTCCACAATGCTTTGAACTTCTCGAATGATTCAAAACCTCTTATTTCTCCTTTAGGAATTAGACTCATGTTTTCCTACTAAAATTATCAATAAATGTTGGAAAATAACAATGCTCACCATAAGAAGTTGGAGATATTGGTCCATATATGTCGGTTTGGATTAGTTCAAGAGGCCTCTTTACATGATAGATTGACTCCTTTGGAAAGCTCTTCCTTAGTTGCTTGTCAAGAATACATGCCTCACAAAATTGATTTTGAGAGTTGATGTGTGGTAATCCTTCCACCATCCTTTTGTTTGATAATAACTTGAGTGCACCAAGGTTGAGATATCCAAGCCTCAAGTGTCATATCCAAGAGCTATCTATCAAATTAGCATTCAAACATTTGTGATCAACATGCTTTATGTTCAATATAAATAACTTTTTGATCATTTACACTTGTGCAATTATCTTTATGCTTTGATTTCTTAGTATGAGTGTTCTATTCTCTATATGCACATTATAATTTATATCCTTTCTCCAAAAGTTATCTCAAACTTAAAATATTTATCTTAATGTTGGGCATAGAATAGACATTAGAAATAAAATGATGATTTTTATTTTTAGCTTGAATAAGAATTTTACCTTTCCCCTTTACTTTCACCTTTGAGAAGTCTGCAAAAGAAACTTGTCCATTGACTTCTTTATCTAGCTCTATGAACATATGCTTATGCCCACACATGTGATTGTTTGCTTCACTATTCAAGTATCAAAGATCTTTATTGTGAATATTTCCTTCTTTTTTGTTCTAGCAATAAGATAAACTCATTTTTTTTAAATCTTTTTTCATATAGTTAGCCTTCTCATCAACTTGGTTAAAATCATTATGCTAATATTTCGATAAATAATGACCAATCTTGTTGTAAGTATAATAATGAAATTTGGATTTATTATACATTCTTTCTCTCAAGGAACCACATCTTTCTCCTTTCTTGGGGCATTCTTCATCATTATTATTGTGTTGTAATTGTCCTCGGCCAATTCCATGGTCTCCACCATAGCTAGGACCATGACCATGACCTTTTTGGTTCTTTCTCCTTGAGCTTCTTTATTATTGTCTTTAAGGGAAAGCTTGCTTTGAAGAGCTTGCTCTATTTATTCTTACTTCTTCTTTTGTATTCTTTATTCATTAGCTTGCAATGAGTCTATAAATTCATCAATGGTCATGGCAGATCCTTTGATTCTTCAATGGCCACCACAACATAGTCAAATTTTACATCCAAGGATCTTAGAAATTTCTCCACCACTCAGTTGTCTTGTAATGTCTCACTATTTCTTCTTAGTTGGTTAATAATGACCAAGACTCTTGTGAAGTAGTCTGAAATGGATTATGCCTACTTCATCTTTAATGCTTCAATCTCACCCCATGAGCTTGGAATCATACCTTCTTCATATTCTCTATTCTTTTATAAAAATTTTGAAGAATCTCTCATGCTTGCTTGGAGTTGGTGGTGATGGCAACTTTCTCGAATGCTCCTTCATCAAGCCCTTGATAGATAAAAAAAAAATAGTTTTTTTGGTCTTACTTTCTTATATCCCTTAAGGAATTCTTTTGACTCGCCATGAGTGTAGCTTCATCTTGGAGCTCATTATATCCCTTCTCTACTATCTCCCATACATCTTGTGATCTAAGCAAGGCCTTCATTTGGATACTCTAATTTTCATAATTGTTGGTAAGATAGGATATAGAGAATGATATATTGATAGCCATCTTGGATAACTTGGCTGAGACATCACTTTGTTAAAAATGAGGTGGAGTTGTGGAAGAAGAATGGTTGAGGAAGAAGATAAAAGCCTAACTTTATTTTGGTCTCGAATGTTCAAGTTTACATTCAAATGATCTCCTCTCATCTATTTATACGAGATGATAGGATAAGACAACATTTATAAAAGACAAAAACTAAAAATTTTCTCAATTTTTAACTTTTTAGATGATATCTTTTCTCCAAGATATCTTAACAATTTTCTAGACATATCAACTTTTAAGAGATTACAACATCTTTGAAGAGGATTTTACCTTCTTCCAAAATATCTAAGATATTCTTCATCTTTTCAAAAGATCCATATCCTTTTTCAAGATACGATAATATTTCTTCATCCGTAAGATCGACTAAATTAAACTTAATTTCAACATTTACATCCTATCTTTCTACTCATGTGAAATAAAAAAAGCTGAGGCAATAACCATGAGCGCAAATTTATAAGCAGCAGCCAGATAGAAAATACAATACATTCTAAAAAAGATGCAACTTGTAAAAAATGATGGAATTACCAGGTGGAATAGCCAGAGCCAATGCATTAATCTCGTCAAGCTCAGCAGCAACTGGAATTATTTCATCCAAACCCTTCATCGCAAATTATGATATCGAATCAGATATTAAATTGAAAATGCCAACTGCAAACAGAAGGAAGAAAAGGTGGAAAAGGGAATTGTACCAGTAAATCACCCATCATTGCTGGCTCAGCTGGGATCTCAGCAACAGGTTCTTTTTCCTCAACAAATTCAACTGGTGAAGGTTCGGTATCTTCGACAACAGGTTTCTCTGAAGACTCTGGGGAAGAAGTTTCATCTTGTTTATATGCCAATGAGTTTCTTTCCTGATATTCCTGCTTCAACATTAAAGATAAATCTATCATAGTATGTGATCTTTGAGAGAATTGATGTATAGGAATTTGGAGGAAAAAAAGGCAACAGAATCTAAATGCTGAGGCAAAAACAAATTGGAAAAGTCAAGTACCACAAACCAGTTGATACAAATTTGAGAGGAGAAGAAAATAACTGTTTCATGTGGGAAAATATTAGAAGCTGCTTTCTTGTAAGATTCTTTAATTTAATTAATCGAAGTCAAATTGTTTCCACCTAAAAGTTTTTCCTTGGAATCAATGCCATAATTAATTGAAGGCAGTTGACACTACATCCTGATAGAAAAACAATTCTAGCTAATATTGACTTGATAAAACATGTGGAGGAGTTCTATAGCGAACTCCAACTCCTTTTACCAGCAAAAAGAGGATGAACATAAGATATCAACTGATAGTTAGAAAATGCACAATCATCTAGTTTTTTTAGTCATATAGTTTTTCAATATAAGGTAAAAAGGACATAATATTTTCAATATTCCAAGTCACTATTTGAACTTCAGTAAGTGTACATTTAAACTTCCACCAATTTAGCAAATGGCTGAACAAAATTTGATTGTTAGGATCATGATTCACCTTACTAGTCCATATCAATGTACCGACCAACCATTAGTACAATACATACCGATCCGTACAGATGTACCAACACATAATATGATGGAACGTGCCAATAGATCAGTATGTACTACCCATACAGGTCCCTTATCAGACTGATATATACCACGCATATCAAGTATCTCTTAAATGTATTGCAGATACAATAGCTTACTATTTGCTCTGAAGCATGAAAATAAAATGAAATAAATCAATTTTGCACTACTGATGTTCTCGTTCTTTCTCACAGATATATCATCCTGCTGTCCAAGCATCTAAGTGAACTGTGAGAGAACCGAAGTGATAACTTTGCACATTATAGAACAGATTTAGCTCTGATTGTTCAATAATTGATCACCAAAATTATGCATTATTGCCAAAATCCATGCTCCTAGAGGACAGAAAAATTATGTCAATTAATTTGATAAATGGAACATTTTAATTTCTCACTGTATCATGTTTTCAGACACTGAGCTGATTGGTACCTAGATGTACCTGACAGTAAGCCTACCACCCAATATTGTATCAGATTGAAATTTAGAGCATTTCAGTCAGTGCAACAATTCATTTTTCAAAAGCATAATCGAGCTGCATTATGCAGAACAGAACTAAGGACTAAGTTTGTTCAAGACCATTGTAATTAATAACAAAAAGAATTATTTAAGAAGTATAATGGGACTGTTTCCATTGATACTCTTATACACATAAGAATAAATTTTATAAAACAAATCATATGCATGTAAAGATGGATATATAAATGTTCACATGCTCCAAGAATAAATTTTATAAAACAAATCATATGCATGTAAAAATGGATATATAAATGTTCACATGCTCCATTTTATATAGAAGGCCATTGTAAATCAAATATAGCATAATTGCACACTGGAATCCGTATATATGTGGTAAATGCTTAAATACACTCACCAGTGTCAGGTTTGAGACTGAACCAATTTTGGGTGCTTCTCTAATGTATTCTTCCATGGTTGCTATAAATGAAGGAGGTGGCTGAAGAGTAGGTATTGACATCAAAAGCATATATAGACCATGACTATAAAAGGTGGGTATGAAGGGTGCAAGTCAAGTTCAAGTTAAGATGACCAAATCACCTCTCTCAAAATTGGAAACTGAAAGTTCCTGGCAAGCTCCAGAGCTTTGCAGAACTCATAAAATTCAGAAAGATTTTTTGCCTGTCAATATATAAGATTCAACTTGAGTTAGTTTTGTCAAGAAATTTTCTGGCACTTCCTCTTCTTATTAAAGAGAAACAAAGCCCAAAATGATGCAAGATACCAGCTGGCCTGCTCTTTTATAGATGCTGAGCGCTTTAATAGCCTCATGTCTTGACATCTCAAAGAACTGCAGTGAATTATTGATTCATCAAAAGAGGGAAAGGGCTAAACTGATACAAGCCAGATAAAAACTATGAAAAAGAACATTACCAAATCCACAAGATTGATTATCCCATCGTTGATTGCACAATAGGTTTTAAAGCTTTCTTTTAAAACCTGACTCATGAACAATAAAAAATGCTCAGGTCAAATTTGTCACAGTTGCAACAATTCTTAAGTCCCACTCTGTATGAAACAGAAAACTGAAATGTGCCTGTGAGGATCTGAGACGATCTGCAATTCTTGGGGATGTTAATGTATTTAATTGAGAAAAATTCTGAATAATTAAATAATCAGTTGCAATCTAAATTCATATTGAAGAACTTGGACGAGAAGGTTTCTCTACAAGAGATAAAGTAATCATCATTTGTTTTCATGGAAGAGATAAAAAAGACTTTAAATGATAATTGGCTCATTTAAGTAATAAAGTCTCAGTAAGCCTGAACAAGGATGAAGGAGAAGGTAGAGTCTGCTTGGCACTATGGCCAATATGCGATCTTTAAGGAATTCAACCAACCGATATTAGTAACTTTTAAATGCTGATTAAGATTGAAGTAATAGTTAATAGAGCTCAAGGCTTTCCTGATAAGGTTTCTAAGTTTGCTGAAAAGGCATGTATCAGATCTCATAATTCATGGTTTGTATTTTTTCACCAAGATAACACAAAAGGAGCATAAACATACCAGAGCCAAGGCATACTGTATAAGATAGTTGCCAAATGCTGCTCCTTCAGGCTAAAACAAGTAAAAATATTTGCAAGTAAATAACACTGAACTAATACGAGAGGAAGAACTTAGTAATCATTACTAAAAATAAGAAAAATCCTCCCAACTTCATTGCCTTTGGCCAACCTTGCATTCAACAAGCCGGAAAAGCAACTGTTGTAAAGCTGGCAACTGCTCTAGAAGCTGCTGACAACCTAAAGTTCTTGTTCTACTGCAATTCTGGCAGACCAAAAACTTATAAAAAGAGCTACTAAAAAAGAAAATGCATGTTTGTACAACAAACTGGCTCTTAGAAGTGAAAAATAGACCTTTGAGGAATCATCTGAAGATCTTCTCAAGTCCTCTGCTTCAATGTCATATCTTAGGATCCTAAAGCATTCAAGTCTCTCCTCCAGGAATAGTGAATAGGTTCGAACCCATGCAGAGCAGTCCCAAGCTAAAAGAAGAAAATGAAATATAAGAAACGCCCTTTACCAGAATTTATTGTGCAAAATGTCAAAGTAAACTAACCAACAGAACTAGAATCGTCCTTGAAATATGATATCTGTAGAATATTTGCTTTATGGCAATAGTGCAATAGCTCGTCTCTGAATGGAGCATCTCCCTCTCTCAATGCCCTGTGGATAACTATCAATGACTTCAGTGCAACCTGTACAATATTTACAGCACAAAAGTTCTGTCAAATATATGAAGTATCATCAATTATAAAATCTCCTGAATCTGCATAACTATCGAAAATTTTATAAATCATAAGCTCGACAAGCGGCAGTGATAGATGAAAAATGTCATTAAAACTTAAAGTTAGCATAAGCAAGTGGATTCTTCTGCAAATTCTCTAATTCATTGGTTGCGCTAAAGATAGATGTTTAACAAATCATTTTTTAACTCCTTTATTAAACAAAAGATTGCTTTGGATCACTCACGATCAGTTACTGAACTCGAATAGGATCGAAATGGTGCATCACATTTCCAACCTGGAGAAATCAACGACTATTGTCTGGTACAAATAACAAGGGCACTTACCACCCAGTTACGAGTCTTGGACAATCTCCTAGCCAGTGCGTGCACGCAGTAAGCGACATCAGACCGTGGGCAATTTGCCGACGTAGCAACAAAAATCTCTAAATTACGCACAGAGAAACCATGAGATTAGATCGTACCAGTAAATCAGACATACAAGATCCATTTACTGCGCGTTTTGTAAAATCCAAGGAAGGCTATCAAAGATCCTAGTTCTGTTCTAATGATCCCAACAATTCAGAATACGGATCCGTTGAGCTAAGCAGAAGATTGTATACCAAAAACAAGGATCTGAAGCCGAGGGACTCACTTCTAATGTGGCGTTCCTTGGGGGGGCACTCCACGTGATTCGTGGCCTTGACGACGGCAATGTCAAGATCCTTCGACAACGCAAGAGTCCAAAGACATCAAATAAGATGTACCAGTGTCGGATTCCGGGATGAACGGAGCACAAAAATGCCATTATGATTGTGATATGAAGGAGGAGATCGGACCTTGAACTCGCTGTTGACCTTGGCGAGGCTGACGGTGGTTGTATCCTTGAGCGCGCCGTAGGCCTTCCGCCAGCTCTCTAGCGTCCCCATTCGATCTCGGAGGAGGAGAGAGACCCCGAGCCAAACACTCGTCCCTTGCGACAGCCGAAGAGGAGGAGAATGGCGAAGGAGTAGATCCCGGTGGTATTCGTAATCGCGGCGAGGTTTCTTCCAACGACCTCTCTCTCTCTCTCTCCTACTTGTCGTTAGAATGCAGTAATTTAAGGCCACTGCCCCTGCACACGAGAAAGAAACCCGATAAAGTACCCAAACGGGTTAAGTGGGGCCCGCAAATCATGTTTCCGTGGGCGCAGCACAGGAGACGACGCTTTGGGGTAATCGGTACGGCGTCGTAGCGCTTCGACTGGTTTAAACTTCGCAACGTTACCGCGGCATCCGTGCTCGTCTGCGGATGATCATCTACTTGGGATCCTGACCGTCCGATGGGGGAAACTGGGAGAAGTGCTGTTGTTATGCACATCACAAACGACGCATCTTTTTCTGTGTGAAGGAAGACCCAATTCCTAACATCCTTTTCGATATACGAGTTGAACGCTTTGCAGAAGATTTTACCAAACACCAATTTATCACATAAGAAAAAAGACTTATCTGTTTATACTTTTGTTTATCACACCTGCAAAATATTGAGGGGAAAAGAGCATGCAAATATGCTGATCTTTTCTATTCTTTTTTATCTTATATAGTTGTTCCTTGATGCATTTAGTGGCCTGCACTGTGCGGCGTGGGTGTTGGTTGATGATAGATACCCAATATAATATAAGCTGCTGGCAGGGTGATTAATTTCCTCCATGCAAAAAGTGGCACATCTAAAGCAAGGAGTTTGTAGTTGGCCTGTGCACATTTCATCCTCTCACCCATTGTCAGTTACTATGTCATTGTGTTGAATGCTCGTGAGGAAAGGCGATACCAAGATGACAAGCACGTCGATGGGTGATGATGAACAATGATTATTATTTCATGAACGACGTTATCGTCCGATCTGATACACATCGATACGACGAAGAGAACCAACCACTAAATCAAACCACACAAACTTACTCGACCTGCCTTAACCATGGGATCGTTAACTACAATCTGAACCAATCACTACAATCAAAATTCAACATATCTTCTGCGACAAGCCAACCCAATGGGGTAATTCTCAAAAATAGAGCAAGAGAGCCCAATCAAAACAAACATGTGGCTGAAAGCAAAATACAAGCAAATGAGCAAGGAATATAACACATCCATTATCCACATAATACAATTTATAATATGAAACACCTTGCTAGGATCAGTGATGATTACAAAAAAAAAAAAATTCCTCACGTGGATGGTCAAAATCGGGCATCGTGCGTGCCAGGAGGGGACCAGCAGTGATGACAATTTTCTGATAGGGGATGGTCAAAATTGGGAAGCAAAACTAACACACCATGTGGTACATCAACCTTAACTCTTTAAGTGCAGCCGCTCAAAAGAATAAAATGATCAATGAGGAGGCATAAGAAGGCATAAGCTCAGATAACTTAATCATACATGATGAATTGCACAGCATCAACAATTTTGTTTTCACCGACCACTACCTTGTGTAACTACAATCGTTGCACAGCGCTGCTGTTCATCCAAATTTCTGCTTTCTACTGGCTAGCCGAGGCTTCAGCTGCATGAAAATATACCTTCTCAGAACAAATAATCATTGTATTAAGTATCTAACATCTGTATCCATGATTCACGGATGGCAACTCAATCGTATGAAGACAAAGCAATGTGTATTTGTTTTAAACTCAGGCATCAGAAACACCAAGCATTTAAGTTGACAAGATCATGAGTATACAATAAAATAAAAAAATTGTGATACTATGAGAGACTACTTGCATGACTCAAATCCTGGTCGCAGGTTGCAAAGAAGCATCCAAATAAACACTTATGGGGAAAAAGAAAAGATATGACTTACCATCTCTATGAATTTTAGGTGCTTCAGGACAACTTCTGTTTCCAGTTCCTAGAATCACATATGAGAGCATATTTAGAAAAGCATAAAAACAAAGTAGTCCAAATTGGTGATTTCATGCAATCAAATGCCATAAAGCTGAGAAAGATTTGACGAACAGCAGATCCCGCATTAACAGGTACTACAACAAGCATGAAATAACAAAGAAATTGAAGGGTAATCATGCAATCAAATGCTATAAAAATGAAAAATAATAATGGCTATAAATGGAAATATTATATCGCAAAACAGTTCACTATCAACAGAGGAAAAGAAAAGATGACAGCCTGTCTCATTTTCGACTGCAAACATAACAGCATATCAAACATTCTGCAGACTGTCATGGCTACTTACCTGTAAAGGTAAATTATACTGAACCTATTACCTAATGCTCCATGTAACAACCTAAGCTAACTAATATGACTCTTTGGGGTAGAAGACACAATCATATGAGCCAGCTGCATTAAAAAAAAAAATCAACCAACAACTAGAGAAATGCATTGATAAGTGTGCTTTAATGTTTGTGCTTGTTCACTGATAAATTACATAGAAGTATATTAACCACTCGATACACTTACTAAATGAAATATTTCAACTATTTAAGAACAAAAGAAATTCCAGAATTAATATGAACAAATCAGCACATGTTCACCAAAAACAAATTATTACTATGTTTTTTTAATAAATGAAAGATCTTCTATGTTCTAACATGTTGCCATTATGTCTGTAAATTAGATTATCATCGTACATCCAACAATTTAATCAGGATTGTTGTGATGCAATACAGGATTTTGATGGAAAAATTAAATCAGAAAGAACAGCACATAATATCTGAGAGACTGTAAACAGTATAACTGATTCGAAAAGGTTACTCGAGAAAAATAATGGATTTGCAGAAGGAATTGCCAAACTAATGAAAACTACCAACATAAAACAGTAACTGCAAAAAAGAAAAAATAATCTAACAATCAATAGAGGAGATAAATTGGAACAAAGAAACCTTACAAGACAGATAAGCTTCAGTGGTCAGACCAACACACAAATATCAACAATGGATCCACAAGTTAACTTATCCTGGAGCATGACATTAGAATCAGGCTCATTCCCAACTAGTTACCACATTGCAACTATAGAAAAGAGGACAAATAATAAAGGCATAATATAAACAATAAACACAACTTTGGATATTGTAGTTTAAAAAGCAATTAAGGTCCAAAGATATTGTCTAAATGCAACTTTAACCTGAGGAACAGCACAGTCAGCATGAATTGCATCCCAAAGCACCGCACAAGAACAATCCCAATCATCAGTTTGAACTACAAACAATGGTGCCCTGCGACAGATCCAAAGAAGATAACTTTACAAAGTTATCGATCTAGCATCCACAGTATTATTAGCATAATCAATTTAAATGGGAAACTTCCAAAGTTCAATAACTGTTTACTGCACTGGTCCTGTATTAGATAGCACAAAACATTACAGAGCAGGTTACGTTAATTGTACCACTGCTACTTTCCAGTCAAATTACCTATTGTGATAAGGTTCAAAGGAATAAACTGATTAAGATTGTATGTCATTGTGATTATCAAACTGCTAAGCATAATGAGAATAAATACTAAACCCACTACTACTAGTAATGTTTTCATTCAAGAACAAGTGTTGTGATTAGATGATCTAAATCAATTAGGATAATTGGTGTGAGAAAAGGTTGGGAACCTAAGATCTTTTCTAGAAACAATAAAACAATATTTATATGCTCTTGATTAAACTAGACATATCAAATTATACAGAGCTCAATGGTGGGAAAATCCATGTAATTGAATCCAGATAGTTGGGACAATTACAGCTTCATTGTTGTTGTTGTTGTCGTAATGTGCTAAAAACTCAACCTCAAATGTGGGTTGGAGCAGTCTGCTATTTCTTCCGAAATTATCATTCATGAATACTGGTTGTGCTATGGATGGTTGCTACCCCATAGGTATATTTGTAATCAATGTCTGTGTCTTTCCCGCTTGATTGGAGACACTAGTTCAGGAATGAAGGAGAAAAACTACAGAACATAAGTGTTATATAATAAGTTCAATAAAGATTGAGAATTTAAAATGTAACTGGTGACATTAAACCACAAAATAAAGATACAACCATGATACATCTTCAGAGAATACCAAATTGCAAAGGCTTTCATCGATTTACCCAAATTTGGTCAGACCAGCACCAAGTTATTGCAACCCAAGCCAAATCATATATTAATCAAGATTATCACACAGAAAAAGGGTCAAAATTCTAAATCTACTTCATCCTTAATCTCTGCCAGGACAAGCTTTCTTTGACCCATAATTTAATCACTGTTTTTTTCTTCCTACCTCCCCTACCATCTGACGACATCTGTATCCACCTCCTCATCCAGTTTTTGCCATCACCTATAACTAATGTTGGATGAATATGATGCTCTTCATTCATCAATGGTAATCGTATATTTGGTGGCATATCTCACTGAAGTTACCTCTTTGTTTTTCTTTCTCATATGAACAAAAAAGAAAAAGAAAAACTGTGATGTAGGAGGTTATGCCAATTATGCAGCAAAATTGTTATGTTTGAAGTTTCTCTAAAGAAAATGCTCATCTATTATGTCTTAAAGCCAATCCCATAGAGACTTAAAACTACAAATATTGAACAATATTTAATCCTGAACAACTACAAGTGTATATAAAATCTTCTGCCAGAAAAAAATACAATATCATTAATCTGAATAAAACCAACAAAAGAAGCAAATAAAAGTACCAATACGACAATCAATATAAAAAAGGATAGCAAAAACTTCTCTACATTCATACTGTCTACATTCAGGAGCACCACTTGCATAGTCTAAATTGAATTGTTATAACGATTTCATATACCAAAAGTGTTTGCAGGTTATAAAATATTTCAGTAGGGTCCACATGCATGGTATTCACAAATCATTTTTACCACTGTTTCATCCTCAATGAAAACCAAACATGTTTAATCCTATTAAACTTGTTTTGCTAGTAAAACCTCCCAATTTCTACCATCAACAAAACTGCTAATTCGTCCTCTAGTATTGACTCAATAACTATACTTTAATTGTTATAAAATAAAATACTATTCAATAAAATGAATGGATAAAATATCTGCAAACTTAATCACACAAAATTCAACAAAAAAGTTTACCTGCGCCACTTTCTACATACAGTACCCTCATCATCATCACCAGTATATACAACTTCTCGACATTGAACCCAATTACCAATAGAAGTAGATTTTGGTGGCCTGGAATTGTTCCATACCTACACAAGGCAATTGATCAAAGAAAAGAAAAGAAACTGAGATATGATAAAATAATTAAAATTAATTTCCCAAGTCTTACACTGAGACTAGAGTATTCAGCAGGATCCACTTCTGAAGGCTCCCCATATGGATTGAAACCACTACAGACATGTACAAACCATGGACCAAGGAGCAATGAGCTTCAATGTGGATGCTAATGTCATACAAGAAATATTGTGATGCCTATGGATTTAAATTCTGTATCTAATAGCTTTGTTGGGAGAAATAAAAATAAATAAATAAAAGCCCATACTTCATAGAGTTAGCAAGAATGAATAAAAAAGATCAAGTCCACTGAATGATATAACTGCTCATCAGAGAAGAGTAATGACAAAAGTAAAATCAACAAAATCTCCCAAAAGAGGCACACAAGTGGTGTGTAATTTGTTGATATAAAAGGTTCGTCGTATCGCAGCATACCACTCGGTACGAGCGGTATGCACCAATCCGATAGGGGACTGGTACAGGCAGTGTATCGATACACCCTCATATATCATGTGTCGGTATGCTCGGTACAATTTGGTACATACCGTACCAACAACTGGTCGGTACATTGGTATGGACCGATAAGACGAACTATGAGAAATACTTGACAGTTAGCTTGTATATTATTTAGAGGGTGATGATCTTGTAAGCCCTTGCCTTAAATCTCTTTTTCGCTTCTCAGCAGAGAAGCATTAAAATATAACTTGTACATCTATTACCAAAATAACCATCCTCTAGAAATTATACCTCATCCAAGTCAGTCTTTCCAAACATGTCTTCCCATGAAACCTCCCTCTTATCTTGTGACTAAATACTTCCTAAAATTAGTTCATAGCTATAAACTGTGAGTTCAAATAGCAAAATGAAGTATTTAGTCACTGATAGTTCTTTTGTATGATATTAGAAAAGGTTAGTGAATCTATGTGCTTCAACGATAATCATATTTTCATAGTTAAAAGGTTCATTTGTCAACTCCCATTGTATTTGTGCCGCAATGTAAAAACAAGGAGTACCAAAATTCATGGAAAGAACTATTTCATTAAGATGTAATATGAGTAATTATCTAACTAAAGTTTTAAGGTAGGTTGCTGGAAATTGTGATAGACCAATACTTGACCGATGTGACATGATTGATATCACCAGCCCCCATTACATACTTCAGAGGTCTTCAGAAAAATTTCACAATAGCAACTGTTTAGCAGAAACGAGAATACTAGGATTGGACAAAAGGGCAGGGTGATTTTAATATTTCAATTTTATTCTAGTGATCGAGTAATATGAGAAGCAAATACCTTATTGATCTCATAGAGAATTCCAACTTAACTAAATATAACCTGTAGACATAAATAAGCATGGCCAAGTGCATGAGGCTCCCTTCTATTTTGCACCAAGGTAGATATCTGTATTTATTATCCCCATCCATTCATACATGCAAAATACATCACAAATCACAGACAGAATTGAACATAAACCATGATATAATTCTAAGCAATTGGACAGAGAATGTTTCAAATTTTAAGCAAGGATCATCATGCAGGTATAATGCCAATAGCTGGTTGTCAGTGGGAACCTGGGCATTACTGTACAGGCCACCTGCTGAACCATCTCATGCTAGGCATGTGCCTGCGAATCATGCCAGTTTTACGTATGGGCTCAGAAGTCACACCCATGTTTGGTGATACTAAAATCATGGTTAGACACATCAGGCTATCATAAACAAATGCAGTACTTCGTTCTAAGAATAAAACACAATATTACGATGAAGGTCCTGGTCTTATGCTAGTTCCTACAGGAATTGTTGGGTATTTCACTTATAGGATGGCAACTTGTTAAATGTACTACCAAACTAAATCTTATAAAAATTATGATAGAGGCATTAGAAGCACGCACTCAGGTTTTGGACCCGACCAGTCAGGAACTTCCGCTTGAAAATCTTTCCCGATGCGAGCCCCAGTTGTATAAGGCTGGCCGTCTCGCAACATGAATGCTATAGGGTCCAAAACTCTATGAGATACTCTTCTCCTGTGCCCTGGAAATTCATCCACCAAAGTACATGTTTTCCCAGATTTCTCATCAATAAAGGACTTTGGCTTCTTACTGAAACAAGATTGACAAAACCACTCATCAACTGGCAAATTTCTTATTTTCGGTCTGCAACAAGACACATGAAATGCTTCTTCACAAAGGTCACAAATTAGCATCTTCAATGGTTGTCCCAATTGACAACATATCTTGCATGATTGAAAAGTGGGTTCATGGTGATCTAGAACCTCAGGAGAAACCCATGCACCACTCTCACATGCTCCCCTAAGTAAACCATTAGTTCTAAGAACAAAAATGCACAGCTCCTTTGCTGAATGGAAATCACCCAATGGATCGGCAATGACATTATCCAATGAAGAGCACTCACCAGTCTCCACTTCATTCTTTATACAATATGAACTGGGATTATTATTGGACTTTGATGTTGAAAATCTGTCATTTATACCAGAGTTGTAATCTGATTCCGATTTCTGAAGGCACTTGACAGGTGACTCAGTATGTACTTTGTTTTCTCCAATAGATCTATTATTAGGAATACAATTTGGGTCTAATATTACTTCCGTAATAACATCTTTCTGTGAGATGAAGGGAGTTCTGTGATCTAGCAGGTGATAACTTTCAGATAATACATTTCCATTCTCAACAGCTCCACCAAAATCTGCAAATTTCTTATTTCTGTGAGGATTATCATTTTTATCTGACAATGAATTGTCCTCACAACTTATACTAGAATGGCAAAAGGAGACTTCTTTAGTACTTTCTGATACATTTTCTTTTGACACAAGTGCAACACCATTCTTCTGCAACTTCCTTCGTTTGTACACATAACCATCCATTTTATGCACAAAACTCATGCGCATATCACTTGTTGTTGATACATTGGCACAGGAAGACAATTCTAGAATACTGGAACCAGCTGATTTGCTTTCTTCATCTCTAATAACTGTAAATGTTCTGGGGGTTTCCAAAGGGCACACTTCACAAGTTACAGATTTCTTCCCAGTTTCGTTAGAATGTGACCAACCAAGCAAGTCCATGTTCTGTTGTTGCTATAGTCAAGTGCATACAATGATGATGCGGTAACACAATTAGGATGAGAACTCTGGATCAACATTTCACCTTTTCTCATGGCAACTATGTCTTGGCTGGATTGGACTTTTAAACTGCATTATTTTTTGGAACATACCTTAAGTGATACAATGATATCTCAGAAGCACAGTCCAAGAGCAAGAAACAACCTGGAACATGTGGACAGAAGGATGGATTTACAACATCACAAAAGTTTTGGCTGTTTCCAGAATAGATAAAGAGAGATTTCATAGTAACCAGATATCAATCAACGAACATACACCATGAACAAATACTTTCACAAATTATCATGTCTATATTAATGTTTAACAAGTAAAAAAGCACTATAAATGTTAACTGAGAAAACATAGAATGAGTCAGATACTGTTCCCTACAAACAAAAAACTTAAACAATTATTATGTATGAAGAACACCAGTTCTAGAATGCATTGTGCATAAAGATGTCACAATTTCAACTTCAAGAGCCCTTGTCACACAATTATTATGTTACTGTTCCCTACCATCTAGGAGAAATTACAAACAAATATTGTGTGGTTCAAGTATCATGTCCACAAAATAAATTCTCAAGTATTTTAAGCCATGTCTCTTTAACGAACATTGTTAGCCTTGTCTATTCGATGTAACACAGGGATAACCAAATGTAAAACCCGCTAGTAGTAGTTTTCGTTTAAATTAACTAGTTTTAAAATATCAATCATATGAATTATTAATCTCTAAATTAGGTTTCATATTTCTCTTAGGACTTCCAACCGATTCCACTTTAGGTAAGATCCATGTACATAACTCTACTTTATGAAGATGATGGGTAAAACTATTGTATTTCATTTTAAATAAAAATGTTCTTTCCTTTCATTTTAGGATTTTTGGCAACTACTTTTATTTCCTTTGTTCTTTCTTTTAGGAGTTATAGTCAATTATCGTCATAATTCTGTAACTAACTCTTGGTAGCAGTTTTGAGTCCCATTTTGGGTAGATCTGATGAATAAGAACCCTATTTTAGCCAGATTTTTGGTATATTATTTTAAGTCATCAGGAATCAAGTCACAGATGAACTAGGTGTATATATATACACACAAATACATATTAAACTCCAACTCTTTTGATCTTGGGATGTCCTCTATAGTGTCTTAATCACTAAGTTTGCTATTTTGCTACAATTCCTATCCAACGTAGGAATTTGTCTCGTTCAACCATTTTTTGCCAACTCAAGCCTTTCTAATATGGAAACTGAAAATGAGAATGAAAAAAATACATCCACAAATACCACAAAACGAAATAAATCTACCTAGATCTTATCAGAACTCACTCCTAACATAAACAAGACTCAGACAAAGATCCTATGCAAATTGTCATACATCAAGAATTGAAAGAAAACCAGGCCTATAGATCACTTGAGTATGCATCTCAGGCTATAATTTATAATGTCCGGAGTCGGTGTAATTAGCCCCTAGAGAAATTCTTAATCCAAAATAAATTCAATGAGAAATATGTCAAGGTCACTTTTATGGCAAAAACAAACACCTAAGACCAGAAATTGCAGTGCCCCTGAATCTGGAACCAGCATTTACCTAAGAAACAAGGAAAAGTGCATCCAAAGAAAAATCCTGCCTAAATTATCTCATGATTTAATCCCGACCTAAACAAGACTTCAATGAAAAACTGCAAGAAAACTAGGCAAACAGATATCTCCGGTATGCACCTCAGGCTATAGTCTCTGATGTGGGTGATTCAGAGAAAAAAACTCCTGTAGAAATATTCAATCCATATAATTTGACAAGAGGCATCCATATAATTTGACAAGAGGCACGAATCTAAGCCACCTTCTTGAATTCAAAGAGAAACCTAACAGCAGAAATCATAACGTGAGACCGCTCTAAAACGTCAATGCCCCTGATTCCGGAACTAGCATGACAGGAGGAACAAGGAAAATTTTGCATACAAGAAAAGGGCCCGCCTAGATAACTTAATGGCATGATCCTAACTTAAACAAGACTCAAAACAAGACCCTACCACAAATTTTCCTGCTTCATAAGCTGCAAGAAAACAAGGCAAACAGATCTCTTGGGGATGCATCTCGGCTATAATCTATGATGTGGTCAACTCAGAGCATTTAACCGCTATAGAAATTCTTAATCCAGATAATTTAACAGGAAAGACAAACCAAGGCCGCTTTCTTGAATGCAAAGAAAACCCTAGCCGAGACGTCTTCAATTTTGCGACGCCCCTGAATCCGAAACTAGCGTATTTACACACAAAAAAAAATGGAAAATGCATCAAAGAAAACCTTAAAGATCAGCAGAAAGCCTTCCCTTACACGACCCAACAGCATCTTCAGTTCAAGATAAAAAAGATATGGCTCGGAATCAGATAAATTTGGGAACGCAAACAATTTAAACAAGTAACAGAACAATCTTTCCAGAAGAAGATGCTCAAAAGCAAGAAATCAGCAGATAGCAAGCAATGAAGTTGGGAGGACGAATCTACCGAAATCTCGAGCGCAAACGCCCCTTCCGGCCTTACTTGGGGAAGAAAGGGGGAAAGATTCCACATTACTCCTCAAAATAACCAACCGAACGCGTTCCATTTGTAGGGGGTTCAAATAGTATGGGGGGATCTTTTATTCGGAGCGTCCGTCCCAAAAATTCTCCGCCGTTGGATCCAGATGTCGTGAGAGTCGAAGCACTTCCTAGCTGCATCTGCCAAATCAGAGCCGTCAGATCAGCATGGCTCTTCTTGGCACCTTCCAATCAGCGCATCAGGGAACAGGGTTTTTCGTCTCGATAGAACGGTGGGGTCCGCCTCATTCAACTCGCCGCTGACGTCAGATACAGCGCGATGACGCTACCTCGTCCCCCATCCTTGTGAGGGGATCCTATTCCCTGTCTTAGCCAACACAGGTGAAGGTTAATTTGTGCTTCATTGTGATTTCACCATGCAGTGCAAACTTCCGTAATCATTCTGCTAATACAAATACTATAATTCTAAGAGAAAGAAACAAAGAGGCAATTCCTCTTATCAGATTTTTTTCTCGATTTGAAGGTTGAGCCAATTCTTTTTTCTGCATCCCATTCCACACAGAAATTACTTGCAAATATCTTTGCTGACAATATTAGCAATCAGTTCAAATAAAAAATAATACAACAAGCTGGTGGAAAGACATTATGTGACAGACAATAGACCACCTCAAGTTCTAAATGAACCCACAATTACTTTTACAAGCAGGCAATAGTGCCAATATAAATCATTTCATCAGCTTTCATATTTCTGTAACAATGAATAATTTATTGTGTTCCTATAATTTTTTTCGCATCAAACATGAGTGAAGCATAATATAATTTTAGAAATAAGGCTTAAGAAACTCCTGTAAAGAGAGTAATAGTAACCCATCAGGAGACCATCTTCATTGAGCTGCCACAGGTATCCAAATCTTTGCTGCATTCTTCCACAGCCTTTGTTGGGGCTTTTGCTTTCAGCATCATTTCAGCATATTCATCTTCTGGTATCGACAATGCTGTAACTGCACCACCAGCTCCCACAGAGGCTTCCCCCTTGTGTATGATGACAGTTCTAATTACTATGTTTAGATCAAATGTCTGGTTGTATGAGAAGAATCCAATAGATCCTGAGTATATGCCTCTTGAGCAGCTTTCCAACGAATCAAGAAGCTCCATTGACCTTAGCTTTGGTGCTCCAGTCATCGAGCCACCTGGAAAGGCAGCTCTAACACAATCAATAGGACTTGCATTAGATTTTCTCTTCCCCTGGATGGTACTAACCAAAGTGTGAACGGTTGCATATGATTCCACTTCCATGAGACAAGGCACACACACACTGCCTGGTTCACAGACCCGTCCGAGATCATTCCTTAAAAGATCCACGATCATCAAATTTTCAGCCTGGTCTTTTTCACTGTTGAAATGACACAAATGTAAGATACAATTTAAGCAGCAGAAGATCCACAAAGGCAGTCGATATTAAATTTAGTCTTAAATTTAAGAAACCAACCGATATAAGAGTTCCCAATGAACAAAGTGGTCAGAAAATTCGTAACAAAGTGATTAGAATCTGAGAAAATAAAGCTTGATCTCAGTTCAAGAAGGTCAATCTCATACCTGGAGGCACAGTCTACTCTCTAGTAAAACAACTCAAGGCATAAATAATATTAGTTCACAAATTATATGTTACGAAGCCTTGGAAAAAAAGTGAACCAGTGAACCTTAACAGACACATAAATTGTCTTTAAAGAAAACTACATGTGGTAACTTAGTTATAGAAAACAAGCATTGCTCCTTATCTAAGAAAGAGAAACCAACACTAAAATAAAAACCATGAGTTTATAGTCTAACCTGTATTGCAACTGCAATCGGAGATGTTCATCTTCATCTGGTGTTCTACCACGAGCTATTGTCCCCTTAATGGGCTTCGCTTCGAGCATACCGTTTCCATCTAATCGAAGAAATCTTTCTGGTGAGGAGCAACATATACATAGATCTTCCCTGGTAAAATTCAGCCAGGCAGCATATGGGGCCGGATTTTGATTCCTGAGACCGAGGTATAAATTGAAAGCATTTAAGTTGTCAACCTTTTTCATCATCTGTGTTGTTAAACACAATTCATAACTTTCTCCATCTTTAATCAACTGCAGACACTTCTCGACATCCTTGATATATTGGCTTCTCGACTTCTGAACTATAAAGCTTCCCTCATTTGGAAAAGATGGGGTAGCACATGATGTTTTATTCTTAAACTTCTTGGTGGATAAAGATTTTAAACTGAGCAGCCTCTTCTCGGTCTCAGCTACCCATGATTTTCCTTTTAGGTTTGCATGTTGACCCATCCAGGTATCTGAATTATGATTATCATGCAAGGAGAGAATATATACATCTCCATACCAGTGATCAATCACCACGAGATTATCTGCAAAGAAGAAGCAAGCATCTGGAGCCTTTGATTTGTGGCCGTTAAATGATGCACCACATTCAACTTTAAGCTCATACCTAGTCAGTCAATTAAGATTTCAGACAACTTTACGAAATAATACAAGCAAATAAGATACAAAATTAAAAAAGCATTTAACTATTCAATAATTTTAAAAGTAGTACTACCTGCTGATTCACATTATATGTATGAGCAAGTTATCAAATATGAAACCAGTCCAAAATAAAGGTGTTTTCTACCTTTCAACAGCATGCTTGAGATTCATCTAGATTTACACCTTGTTAACGCCACTACATTAGGTGAACTTCTTTGAGAATTCCACTATATACCCCCTGCAATAACTAATAGATAGACCCAAATGGGGCTGAGCTATTTCTTAAGATATTGTATGGGTTGGCTACCACCTCCAAAGAGCATCATTAATCTTTTTGTGGGGCAACGCATATTGTGCATGGGTCATCACAAATATAGTATCTGACCATGAAATGCTTGTGGTCGTGAACTAAACTGCGACCTTCTACACATCCCAATGACTATCCAATCTGATGGGGACAATCACCAGGGCCTATGTGGTGGGCCATGAAACCTTTGAATCGCACATCACCTATCCAGATTATTCAAGTAGGTGTTTATTAACCAAACAAAAACATCAGGTATCTAAGAAAGGAAGATTGTGATTGCTTAAAGAAAATTGTAAGCCCCACAATAGTCCCACAATGGGTATCTAATATAAAACAATCGGTTGCACATGTAGCATTACATATAAGAGATAGTTTAACTGAAACCAGTTAGAAAACAGAAGTTTTTAATGCAAGTAGTTATAAGCTATCAAAAGTCAATATAGCACTCAACAGCCTCTTAAATCAAATTAATCTGCCATTTGTAGTGCCAAAAAGTGCACTCTTTTTATACATAATCTCCAAATTTTCAGTAACTGTTTCAAATATTTTCCTTCATAATCTAACATCCATAAAACCAGCTCTCAGATAATAAGCCACAGTGGTCCACAAAAATCAGCCAGAAATATAGAAACAGATAATCAAGCAGATAATATAGACCTAATTAATGATTAATCACATATAATCAAGCAGATGCGCCGGCCATTCACCAAAACTCAAAGATACTTTTAAATATTTGTATGTCAAAGCATCACAGAGTAATAATTAACACTTATCAGAAAAAAAAGATTCCACATACCCAAGGTAACCAATGTATCCACCACAAAAATCAAAGGGCAGGCCTTCATAATCTCTTCTGTCATAGTGAAATGATTCAAGTTCCTGCATATATCAAGAAAAAGTTAGAAAGACTGATCACAATGTGCTTTTGGTTCGTATTACCGGTTCATACCGGTGTACCGACAAACTATTGGTATGGTACATACCAAACTGTACCGAGCATACTGACACATGATACACTGAGGTATACCACTGTACAGCTCATACCGATCCTCTATCAGATTGGTATGTACTACCCATACTGAGCATTATACTTCGGTACATCAAACCTTGCTTCCAAGTTCCAACAGAACCTAACAAGCACTTCAATTAGGTGTGTTTGGACACAGAGAAACAGCCTTACATGCATATCATGGAATTTAATTTCTATACTGCTAACAATTTTAAGGCAGCCTCATAGTAGCATCCGAGCTAGGGCATGGAATTGTCAGAAACTAACAAGATTCCAAACAAAAAAAAGTTCAAGAAATAGTCATAGTCATGCATACTTCTGCAGATTATGTGAACCAAATAATCAAGTATTTAGAAAAAGAACAGTACCTTCTTCAGGAAATCAAACAGACCATCCCTAACAAAAATTGTCTTCAAGGATCCATAGATATCCTCAATTGTCAGGTACCCTCCAGCTTCGATTGTCGTTTTACTGAAACAAACTGTTACTATGTTAAAAAATGTAGTATTGCTCTGAAATGTTTGGTACAAGTTATACTAACACAAATAACCATGGACTGCAGTTATGCCCAGACCTTTTTTTATGTCCAACTTGACAAGATGGAGTTTTTTCAGACAGACGAAAAGTCAATTGCTTCCATAAAGGCCCCCCTTTGCCACCCATGAATGAAAAGCGTGCCCTACCCTAAAAAGAGCTTGGATCAAATCTCGAATGAGTTGTCTGGCTATGAAAGAGGGAAAAATAGGATGACAACAAATAACACATATCATATAACAAAAAGGACCACCACAATAATAATTAATGATAAAGCATCTACAGAAAGATTACACATTGATACATTTATAACATTAGAAAATAATCCACTGAGAGGCAATGATAAATCAATCAGCAAGTGAATGAAATAACAGACTACATTACTGAATGATGTTTTGTGTGCATGTTTAGGCTAATTACATATTATCCCTTGTAATTAGACCTCTTTAGCATCTCGGTCCCCATACTTAAAAAAATTGTATTGAAATCCCTATAATTATGAAAGTGCAACATTTAACCCAATTTACCCTAACGCCATCGGCTTTACCGACGGAAGATACAGCACGTGTATGAATAGCATAAAAACGATAGGCAAAAAAGTAATTTTAATGGTGGTGGCGGACGGTGGCGTCATGGTTGGCTGTTATGGTGTGGTCGACGACAACGACA